ATTCAACAAAGGAAAGATCAGTATAGAAAAGAGTTAATCATTCAGAAAATTCCGCTCTGATAGCAATATCCTAAAAACACAGTTTACAAAAAAAGAGTATCAAATCGGAAAGAATAATTTCAAGTTAAATTTCGCGCAACATATAAGGAAAACCAGCTGTTTGACAATTTCTAAACTGGTCAGTGTAACGAAGAGAACAAATGTATTCCTCATTTCTTATGTGAAGTAGTTAAATAAACACAATCAAGAAATTCTGTGGGAAAAACACACATTGTATGTTTCTCACCATTAGCTGATCTATGAAATCATTGAGCAAATGTTGCAGTGATGGTTTGGCGAGCAATGCAACTAATTAATATTCATATGCGTTGTTCCCAGAAGCTGATATCACATTTCTGGATTATTAGCAATCCTTTAGATGCTACCAGTTTTATATCGAGTCCTCTTTCATAAAAATGTCCTTTACAGTAAAATCCCTTTGTAAAAAAGATATAAAGTGTATCTTCAATAAGAGTAGAGAAACTGTACTGCCTAAGGACATACCGTTATCGGCTTTATAGTCCTGTTGGGCTGCATGTGAAGCACGCTTTCTTGAAGGATGGCAGGACAGACGACTATAATTGCGCGAAAACGTGATCTGAGTGTGATAGAACCCTGGATGAACATTTACCGTTATTGCGAAAAACTCGAATTTTCAGAAAGATACACTACCCGGTCAACTTTCTGTATACTTAAAAGAAACGTCTGATTTTCGTTTTGAAAATGACGTTTTCATATTCCTTTTGGAGCGATTTCATATTTCAATGACCATATAAAATTTAATAGACATTTTGAATGTGATGAATATTATGATGACGAATCCATGATATGTTTCATTCCATGCGATAAGTGGGAATTTTTGACGTTGTATAAACATTATGTAACCTGATTCACATTTACATCTTGGAAATTACTCGTACATACAAACTTTTGTGGAAATTTTGAGTATGGTCATAATTACATCATGAAAAATATGCACAAGAAAAGAAAATAATGCATTACTATACACATGTCATTCACACAACCTCTCCTAACTTATTAATACATGTACAATAAACTTCTGTACCATTTCTACTTGTCTGTCTAACCCTGATGAATTGAATAACTACCGAACGGATTTTCATACGGTTTTCACCAATGGACGGAGTAGTTCAAGGAAAAGGTCTATAATTTTTTTATGTTTTGTGTGAATTGGTTGAAATATGACGCTGTCATCCGCTTACTAATTCCTCAGATATAAGACAAAAAAATTACTTTTGTTGTATTGTTATTTTTTCAATTATTATTTTTTTCAATATAGGTCTTCTAAAAAGTCTGCGATGACGTATCATTTAAGGATTTCCCACTAAATCCATATTAAAGTAATGATCACATACAATGTGGTAATTGGAAAGCTCTATTGGAAACACTTCTTGCTCACCAGAGCAAAAATATTGTCTCTCAACGCGCGTTTTGCTTATCAGAAGATGACTAAAACTACTTCTTACAGACATGTTAATGTTTTTTATGTATCTAGACGAATCATTATCTTGCATAATGAAGGTCATTAAATCAGTTCCTCGTATTTTGTTATTAATCCAATCGTTATTTAACTACCTGACTGATATCTAATCTTTACCTCTTTTCTACCTGAAATTTCGTACGAGTTAGGACAATGGGCTATTGGGATTTGAAACTTTATACCGTTTTCATTCCTCGTTTGTCGATTTTGAAACTTTAGAAGGCATCTATAAACGAATTGTCATGTACTGGTGTCAACAATTTCAAGCATTTCTCAATTATTCTCTTGCTTCTCGGTTCCATGAAACCAAATATGTGAAATATGTTCCTTGTAGCGAGCTATGATTCTCCGTTTAGTTTGACCAACATATTTTCCATCGCAATCTTCACGGCTTATTTCGTGAATCCCAGACTTTTTCTTTTTCTTTCCATCTTTCTAGCTGCGCAACAAAAATTTTTTAACCAATCCTTTGGTGTATTTCGATTCGTTTGAAAGAACTATTCGTTTCAAGTCATCATCTTTCTGAAAATTCGAGGATTTACGAAAGCACTCTCTGAATTCTCTATTCATAATTTTGTTGTGAGCAATGGTGGGAGTTGTTAGGAATATAGCTGAAAGTGCTACTATTCTTTCTATATTCATTGAATTCTGAACCCTTTTATCGGTGTTTATCAAAAGTAAAACATCCAATAAATCTTCATTACTTTTAGTTTCTAATGTGAAATAGCTCCAACCATTGCACATAACAAAAAATGGCGAAAATGGATTTCTACATGTTTTGTCCATATGCTGGACGAACAAGCAGTTTTTAGATGTCTTCGAAAGTTCAGGAATCAAAAAATGCAAAATGAGGTCTATGAATTGATTTAATGACCCCCACTATGCAAGATAATGATTCTTATACATAGACGCATATAAAACAATAACATAGCTATAACAAGTATTTTTAGTCATCTCCTGATTATACTAATTTGGTTAGTGAAACGCGCATAGAGGGACATCATTTTTGTTCCGATGATGAACTAGATTCATTTTGGAAAGCGATTTAGACGGATATGATCAGAGTCATTGTGAAGCATCCTAGAACAGTCTCAAATACTGTGTAGGATATACGTCGGTTCAGGCAGACAGTGACCGCGTCATAGCAGTCAGGTTGCCATTCAGTTCGCCCAGTCAACCAGAGTGTACCAAATTGTCATGTGGTGTCCTGTTACCCAGCTAGCTACGCGGTGAACCAATCAGACTCTACCAAGTTGTCACGTAGCGTTTCGTGATGTTTCCAAACCTTCCAGACTCTTTACAGATATTCCACAACATTCCAGAATGCTCCAGAATGCTCAAATATTTTAGAATATCATGGATTGCTTTACAAGGGCGAAACTTCCAGCCATCATAACTTCAAAAGTATTCCATTCAGAGACCTACCACAACATAACATCCTTGATCGTTCTACAATGATCTGAGATATTTCGTATGTTCCCGAACGCTCCAGATTATTACCGAATATTGTGAATATTCCAGAATGTTACGGAATGTTTTTGAATGCCTTCGAATGTTCTAGACTGTTTCAAAATGTTTTGAAGTGCGCGAAAATTTCATCCCCTATATCTTCTGAAGCATGGNTGCATTTTTCTTAAATCCTTCGGCTATTTCGAGCCATTTTTCAGTAGTTAACGACGGAAAAGTTATATGTCTAGCATGTGTCCATATAGCTTCACAAACTTCTTGGGTGATTAAACTTGCTGTGGATTTTCCAATTCTAAAAGCATAGTGCAAATCGACAAATGAATTGCCAGTAGCCAGGTACCTGAAATAAAAGGGAACTTATTAAATAAAGCTTTTTTTTCAGGCATTTTGCTTCAAAAAAAATGGAAAAACATAAGGGATAGGTACGTCAGGGAACTTAAAGAAAATAAATAAAAATCAGGACAAGGACGAAAAGTCAAAAGTTCCTATATGTACGCCAACCAATTGGGCTTTTTGTCAGATGTAATCCAACGTCGCCCCACAGATACATCTATGGATGATGGGGCTCCTCTATCACCAAACAGTCAGAGTGAATCTGCGTCAGAAAGTCCTGCTACAATACATGATGACTCTCCTACTGTTCATGTCGCCAAAAAAAAAGAAAAGGAAACACACTGGAAAAAAAACTTGTGGAGGCCCTTGATAATCATAGTATTCGTCAAAAACAAAAAGCACAAACAGTAAATTCTGAAGAAGACGACGATAGATTATTTTTGTTATCATTAGTGCCTTTTATGAAATCCATTCCCCCACACTTTAAATTTGCTACGAGAATGGACATTATGCAAAGCATAAATAAATATAATTCCATACAGTCACCAGCCCCCTCTGTATACTCACAACAATTACCGTATAACCAAATTCCCACCCAGGCTCCAAGCCATCAATCTGGAATACTACATCAATGGCAATATTTAAATCCACATGCTGGACCTTCCGGACTTCCAGACTTTAACCAAAGTCCTTCACAACAAGAGCCCCAAGCTGGGCCTTCTGGGATTCAGCGGCAGAGTACTGAATCCCCTTTGATGTCGCCTGGAAGCTCGTATTCCCAAGATACGGATATAACCCAATTATTTTAAATGCTATTTTGCTAATAAACATGATAATATAATACTTTTTTAAGAATAAAAATATTTTTTTAGATTTTATTTATTTATCTTACCTTAAAGTTATAAGAAGCTTTTCTTCTACTGGTATGCTTTCCCTCATGGTAGTATTTCTTTTTGAACATGAATCTTTAATTATTGACAACAATTCTTGGAATGTTCCTCTTGACATTCTGGTAAAATTAAAGAATTTATCTGGATCTCCGTTAAGTTCGTCATACAGTGTGTAAAAAAATCCTCTATTTTTCCTCTCATTTATTATGGGATGTATCCAATATTTGCGTTTCTTTTTTTTCTTAATTTTGTTATATAATAAGCCTGCAGTTATTAGAAAAAGCAAATCATTATCACTGTCAGAAGAATTCATACTTTATGCCAACGATGCGAACCACTCAGACACAACTAGACAACCGCGAAAGATGTCTCGATAAAAACGTGTCGGTCGTAAGCTGCGGTGACGCCTCGTGTGTTTTGAGCCGCTTCTCTGCCGAGTCGGCGCCGACTCGCCAGAAACCGCTCCGTGTGTTTTGTCTCTAATATATGATTGTAAGACTTTGTCGGTTTTGCCGCCACCATGTACCCAAATAACCGTATACATTACATGTGCCCATAATCACGTTTCTTGGGAACGGTTGGGAAACCGCAGACCTAAGGTTTGCGGTTAATTTTGTTGGTTCGGCCATAACTAAATAGGCCGAACCACAGCTTATCAAAAATAGAGGTTGACCAATAACGTTCGATGAAAAATGATACAAGTTTTAAATGGGAAGGTATTTTTGGTGAAAATTATTATTTTTTTTTTGATAATATATCTATAACCGCACATATTATCTTTTATTGGCTCGTAAAATTGAGTAAGTCCCTGTCCTATTGAATAATTAATCGGTCTTCAGCTGACAAAGTTAAACTTCAACCTCAACAGGAGGAATGTTAAAGGGGAAACCCTCAGTGTAGCTAAGGTTCAAAAGACCAACCTTCGTGCGTTTGGCACGAATCCAGCAGCCCTACGGAATAGCGATATATTGGTGACAGCGAAAGCCTTTTATTGTTTTATTTTTATTGGTGACAGTTGGTTAATTACTCCTTGTATACATCAATTAGTTATTTTTGATACTAAATGCAGTAATAGTCTGGAATAACACCCCAGGTATTACACTACCCCAGAAGTTTCACAACATTTACCATCTAAAATAGGCATAACGAATGATAAAGGAAAAACTCTTCGAAAAAAGTGTCGTATGTGTCGTCGAAAAAACATTCGAAAAGACACAATTTATCATTGTTTGATGTGTCCACAAAAACCAAGGTTATGTCTTGAGCCATGTTTTCAAGAATTTCATAGTTGAGCGTACCGTGAATTGTTTTTGTGTTTTTTCTTGTGCTTCATTTTGTTAGATATCTCGTATTTCCGTTTTTCGTCCAAAAATAAAACTTTATTTCTGCATTAATGATTTTTTACTTTTGAATTCACGTGCGCTTTACAAAAAAAATTTGAGCAAACACTAAACAAGGTTTGATTACGATCAAGACATCATTATGTAACATATAAGGAGCTTTTTTGATGACAAAATATCAATTTGGTCCAACACAAATATACAATGCCGATGAGACGGGCATTAGTACAGTTCAGGATCCTGGAAAAATTTTAGCTACCAAAGGCCAGAAAAGAGTGGGCTTTGCAACCAGTGGAGTGGAGAGAGGGGTAGAAACATCACAGTTATGTGTGCTATGAATGCCGCTGGGGGATACATTCCACCCATGTTTATTTTTCCACGAAAGCGACTGACACCTCATTTAGAAAAAGATGGACCACCGGAGGCATTATATAAATGTTCAAATAATGGTTGGATTTATGAATGGTTGCAACACTTCCACAAATACTCAAAACCCAGTGAAACCTCACCAGTTCTTCTAATTACAGATAACCATTCCAGCCACATATCAATAAAAGTTTATGAATATTGCAAAGCAAATAATATTTCTATGCTTTCAATTCCGCCTCATTCATCTCACAAGATCCAACCTTTGGATATGGTTTTTTATGGGCCTCTTAACACGTTCAGTGCGCATGACGCACCCGTGCGGTGACCATTGTTTTTCAGCCGCGCGCATGACGCACTGGGGCGTCATGTACGTTATTTTATCAAACCGGCGGTATTTTGATAGCGCTTGTAGTGGATGTGTCGAAACAGTGGGAGCACGTTTAATAGGGGTTATAGTAAAATCGGCGTCGTCTGTGATTTCATTAGATTTAAGGGATAAATTTAGAAGTGCAATATGGGTGATTCAGAGATGAGTGAACCAAGTACTTCGAAAGGAAAAAGGCGAAGAATCGAAGTTAAAAACCCCAAAAACATCACAGAAGAAGAACTTTTACGTATATTAGAGGATTCAGATATTGAGGACTGCGATTTTAATAGTGAGGGCTCCTATGTCCCTAGTGATTATGAGCTGTCCTCTGATGAAGGCGAGTCTTTTCCTTTTTTTGTAAGTACGTTCGGCTATTTTTTACTTGTTTTTATTGTAGATGAAGGTAATCAAACCACCTTAACAGTTGATGAAATCGGTATTTCAGAAGGCAGTACCAATATTGTGGACAATTCGGATGTATGGAATGATTTTTGTATGGGAATGAAACAAATTGATTTCCAAAAGACTCCAGGTTTTTTAGTTGCAATTCCTGAGAATGCTAGTCCTTATGATTATTTTTGATTATTATTTGACGACAATTTGTTGGAACATGTTGTTAATGAAACCAATAGTTATGCTGAAAACATTTTCCTTTCTGTTGGTATTTCGGAACATTCAAGAATAACTCGTTGGAGAAATGTTACCAAGGACGAGTTACCTACTTCAGTTTATAGGACTTATTATCCACACAGGAACAATCAAGTGCAACGTTTTAAAGGACTATTGGAAAACCCATTGGCTTTTTGGGATAAAATGTTTTTCAAAATATATGAGTCGGAATCGCTTTTTCCTAATTCTGAGAAGTTTGCATTTTGCTAGAAATCCAAGTGAAGAAGAAACAACGCCAGAAGATCGTTTGTATAAGATTCGTCCCTTATTGAACTATTTCCAGGAAAAAATTTGAATACTTCAGTTTTACTGCGTTTATTTTGTTGTTGTTTGTTTTTCATATTATTTTTATATTTGTTTTTGTGTTTATTTTACCTTTGATGACAATGTGTTCGATTCACTATGTTTATTTTCATTGAGTATCTATGTTATGGATATCATAAAATTATATTGCAATAATAAACTAAATGATTTATGACTCACTGGTGCGTCATGAGCACACTTAACCAAAGTTAGGTTCATTGTGCGCATGACGCACCGGTGCGTCACAAAAAAATTATCAAATTAGCTCCTATTTTATTCCTAAGTAACAACTAATAAAAGCAGCTCAAGGTCTATTCTCCCTATTTAATGAAAAAAAAGTTGTCAGGCCGTACGTAAGGTTCCTAACAAACACACAGCATTGAACGTGTTAAAGCTGAATATCGAAATGAATGTAATTTGTTCATGAAAACACATTTTATGCGAAAGATCACGCCATATGATGTTGCTGGTCTGTTTAATAAAGCATATTCTACAGTAGCGACCATAAGTAAAGGAGAATCTGGCTTTAACCCTTAATAGCTATTTGTATCTCATAGTATACATCGTATTCATATATATATATAAGTATCTTCAACTGGCCAAATTTATTCGTTTCTTCATTTCTCTGAAGTCACTCACATCGTTCTTACTGAAAACTAGTGTCAGTACTGCCATCTATGATCATCGAAGTGAAATATATAAGTTTGTTTGCAAGAATGGCTGACAGAAGTGAACCCGTTCCCAAGCGTTCTGTAAGTAAATCCAAATAAATAAGTATTTTATGAATTTGTTGCTTGTACAAAAATGTATGCATGTAACTAGAACAATGAACTGACACTCTCAAATAAAAAAGTGCTTGTTTTGAGAAAGATTGACTCTCGAAAGAGTTGATTTTGTTTTATGTATCTTATAGTCCACAAAATCAATATTACAGAATACTAGACATTATTAGTTATGTATCTTATAGTCCACATTATTAAAGATGTGTCATATCATGTGTTGTCTGTTATGTATCCTATGATCCACAATATCTTCATTACTAGGTCCGAGTTTCCACGAACAAACCACATTCTATTGAGTAAAGAATATTGTTTCAGATGAAAAACCATAGCGCACTGTCTTCAAGAACGAAGACAATTATGGCATTGATACCTCCCTCAACATCGGATCTAGATTCCAGTAGTGGGGAAAGCGATGCTGAACATATAAACCGACCAGACCTGAGTGATGAGGAAGATGAAACTTCCGAAGCTCCTAGCCTACCATCTGATGTTGAGAAGATTTTCGAAGAAATGTCAGAAACAGATAGTGGTTCAGAAGTTGAGCCATGCACGTCAGAAGCACCCAATAAAGAAAATATTTCAAATAACATTGCAACCCCAAAATCCATCTTTACTCCAATGAAAACCAGAGCACAACGTAGTTCACAGTATGGGCAAAATACACATATTGAGGAAAATCTACAGCCTGAAAGAACTATTCAAGAGACAAAGGATGGTGAAAATATACAACCTAAAAAAATATTCTCAAACAAAAAGCAAAAAGTGCAGTCTATCACTGAATACTCTTGGGGCAAGGATGATTTCGAATATCCTGTGAACATCCCCGACAATGATTTTACTATTCCTAGTAGAATAAAATCACCTTATGAATATTTCAAAACATTTTTTTCGGATGACTTGTTTTCGCTTATTGTTGAGAATACAAACTTGTATTCCGTCCAAGAAACTGACAAATCAATACAAGTTACAAAGGAAGAAATAAGAGACTTCATAGCCATACATATTATAATGGGAATAGCAAGTCTACCATCCTATTTAGACTACTGGAAGCCCTGTTTCCGATTCAAAGAAATATCCGAAACTATGGCTCTCAAGAGATACCAGCAAATTCGACGCTACATCCATTTTGCCAATAATAATAATATCAATGATGACAAGTATTATCGCATAAGGCCAGTATTGGACATACTCAAGAGGAACTGTAACAAAATTGAGGAAGAGAGACGACAAAGTGTCGATGAAATGATGGTTCCCTACAAGGGTAAAAAGGCAGGGTCTAGAAGGCAATACATAAAATCAAAGCCAAAAAAATGGGGTTTTAAAATTTTTGTTAGAGCTGGAATATCTGGTATAGTTTACGATTTCATTGTCTATGGTGGTGATGACACCTTCAGACAACATAGTTTCAATGCCAAGGAATCTTCTCTAGGGCTAGGGTCAAGTTGTTTTAGGATTAGCTCAAACTATGAAAAAGCCAACCCTTTCTACAATTTATTGCGATAATTTCTTTAGTAATTTGGATTTATTCTACATTCTCCGTCATTATTATGGCATATTAGCGTTAGGGACGATTCGGTCAAACCGTCTAAAGAATTGTATATTAGAAGAGGATAAACAACTCAAAAAGAGAGGTCGTGGGTCATTTACAACTATGAATGATAATACTAATAAAATAAGTATTGTCAAATGGATCGACAATAAAGCCGTCATTTTAGCAAGCACCTACACTTCTTCCAAACCTTTATTGACAATCAAACGATATGACAAAAACCGTAGGGCAAAAGTTGATGTTACATGTCCCAGTATTGTAAAGCAGTACAATGCACACATGGGTGGTGTAGATCTTATGGACATGCTCATAAGTCTATATCGAATTCCATTGAAGACTAGACGGTGGTATTTATCAATTTTTGCCCAGGTTTTAGACATAGCTTTGAATAATGCCTGGCTATTATACAGGAGAGATAAACAGCTCTTGAAAGAGGACTCGAAACTGATGAGTCTGAAAGAATTCAGAATAGATGTTGTTCGATCTCTGAAACAAAGTGATAGACCCAATAAGAAACGAGCACATGTTGGAGATATAGAAAATAATAAAAAAATCAAAACAGAGATGGTACCCAGACCCACAAACGATGTAAGATATGACAGTATACGGTACGAAAGGGCGATGCCGTTATTGCAATAAAGGAGAAACACACTGGACATGCACAAAATGCTCGACAAGATTATGTTTAGTGAAAGATCGAAATTGTTTTCATAACTTTCACCAATTGTAGATGTACTATTTTGTTTGAAATTGTGTTTTCTACTTATATATTCTTGTTTGAAGAGTTATTTTTTGGTTTGTTTGTTGATTTTGATTATAAATAAAGCTTCTAGAGAAATTATATGAAAGCACTTCCTTACACCAAGAATACAGAAATGTATCCTCCGATACACATAACAAATCACCTCCTATAGTATACATATTTAACAATGTGTCCTATAGGATACAACCCATATTTTGCCCGTTTACAAAAAACAAGGAAACATAATGGTATAGATTCACTCCTACACACCCAATCTGACTATTCATACAATTTTTCGGTAAAAAATCAATCTCAAAGAGGTTTGCCAAATTAAGGGTTAAATGCGCTGGCATTTTTCCACTCAACCCAAAAGTATTTACAGATCAGGATTTCTTAGCTGCTACAACACTACAAAATCAATCGCTTGTTTAAGTCCAAGATAACAATGAAGCCATACCAGCCGAAATTTACAATACGAACCCATCTCAAACTTTGCCACAAATAAATAAAAATCAGGTTGAAACAGCAGTGGATTCTATTCCGGGACCTTCTACTATTTTCACATCATTTAAACAACTTACGTCTATTACAAAATCCTCTGTAAGAAAAAGTATAACCAAAAAAAAACAGCATGCCAAAATCCTGACATCTACGCTTTTTAAACAAGAGTTAGAAGGAACAGAAAAAACAGGAAAAGATAAAGAAAATTCAAAAAAAGAAAAAACTAAATTAAATACCCAAAAATCTCAGAAAGGACAAAATACAAATAAGGCTGGAAAACATGTACAAAATAAGAAACCTCATTACAAGAGAAAGGTGTTTGATTCTAGTTTTTCGGAATCAGATATCGATATACAATGTGATGACAGTAATGATGCAGACGAAGATAGGTGCCTGGTTTGCAGAGAGTTTGGCAAAAACAATGAAATGTGGTTTAGATGTACACTTTGCTCAAGATGGACCCATTCAGAGTGCAGTGGATGGGATTCTGCAGAGGGTTATGTCTGCGATGACTGTCAACCATTTTTTTTACATTAAAATATTATTTTTTACCTTTTTTGCCGATTGTTTATTTCACATTAAAACACATATTTTTTTTATTTTGTTATGTAATAAAAATATTTTTTTCACCTTTCTTACTGATTTACCTGAATTATTACCCATTAAGGCATATTCGTTAATCGATGTATAAAAAAAAATTGTTAAATAGATAATGATTTTCATTTTAATAACACAAGCCAATTGACTGGCATTACCCACACTTATGACCGGTATTGTCCATATATGGTGACAATACCGGTCAAAGATACTTTTTTATTTTTGCTTCTGCCAAACACTAAAATTCTTGATTTTTTAAATTGAATGTGTTTTGCAATAAGTTAAAACCCCAAATGACCGTTTGACCCCTTAAATTTGATTCATAGAGTTTTACTTTTTTTATATTAAATTTTCTTCTTAGGTGACCGCCATTTGCACACTTTACCCTATATCTTGTGATTTGAAGACACATTCAACAAATTGTATTTCAGTACGCCATACATATTTCATTTCATGAGATGGAGTGTAATATTTCATAACAAATATAAAATATTAACAATAGGACACTTCGCATCGGTTTTTCTGAAAGAAAATCATGAATCTTGAGATTTGAAGATACAAATTTCGTTTCATGAGATCGAGTGTTATATTTCATAACAAATAAAAAATATTATTAATAGGACATTTTGCATCGGTTTTTCTGAAAGAAAAACATGTACCTACCGATTTGAAGACACATTCAACCAATTGTATTTCAGTACAACCTTACATACTTCATTTCATGAGATCAAGCGTTATATTTCATAACAAATATAAAATATTAGTAATACGGCACTTCACATCGGTTTTTCTGAAAGAAAATCATAAATCTTGCGATTTGAAGAAAAATTGAACAAACTGTGTTTCAGTATGACCCACATATTCCATTTATGAGATCGATGGTTATATTTCATAACAATTGGCAATACAACACTTCACATATGTTTTTTTTGAAAGAAAAACATGTATCTACCGATTTGAAGACAAATTCAACAAATTGTATTTCAGTACGACCTACATATTTCATTTCATGAGATCGAGTGGTATATTTCATAACAAATATAAAATATTAGTAATACGACACTCCTCATCAGTTTTTCTGAAAGAAAATCATAAATCTTGAGATTTGAAGACAAATTCATGAGATCAAGTGTTTTATTACACAACAACTATAAAATATTAGCAATACAACAATTCACATCGTTTTTCCTGAAAGAGAATTATATATCTTGCGATTTAAAGACACATTCAACAAATTGTATTTCAGTATGACCCACATATTCCATTTATAAGATGAAGGGTTATATTTCATAACAATTAGCCATACAACACTTCACATATGTTTTTCTGAAATAAAAACATGTATCTTGCAATTTGAAGACACATTCAACAAATTTAGTTTCAGTACAACCTACATATTTCATTTTATAATATCAAGTTTTATATTTTGTAACAAATATAACATACTACCAATACGACACTTCACATCTGTATTTCTGAAATTAAATCGTGTATATTGCAATTTGAAGATATATTCAACAAATTGTATTTTAATATAATATGACCTACATTTTATAAGATCGAGTTTTATATTTCATAACAAATATAAGATATTAGCAATATGATACTTAACATATGTTTTTCTGAAAGAGAATCATGTATCTAGCGTTTTGAAAACACATTTTCAAATCGTATTTCAGTATGACCCACAATTCTATTGAAACTATTAGAGATATAAAATATGAGCAGTATAACAATTCACATCTACTTTGCTGAAAGAAATTCATCGAATCTTGCGATTTGAAGGTATATTCTATAAATCATATTTCAGTATGACCCACATATTCATTTCATAAGACCCAATGTAATATTTCCCAAAGATGTAAAATATAAGCAGTACAACACTTCACATCTGCTTTCCTGAGAAAGTTCATAAAATCTTGCGATTTGGAGACACATTCTACAAATCGTATTTCACTATGACCCACCTAATCAATTTTATTAAAACCACATATTGCATTTCATGAGACTCATTGTTATATTTCATAACAGACACAGTGATAAACTCACAATTCAGTGGTATTTCACAGCAAAGATCTTTTTTGGCTTTCCCTCTAAAAACTGGAGAACAGCAAAAGTCCCTGTAAATTTTCTATTTATCTGTTACAGTTTAGAATAGAGCAATAATAAAAGAAATGGCGCAACAAAATCAATCATTTTCATCAGATAAATAATTGATCGGCATCTCCTTTTGCTACATAACAGCTCCCAAAAAACAGATCACTTTGTATTCTATATCCTATTAAGAAATAAACTTATGAAGAACAAAATCAAAATTTATAATACTCGGTCAACGTAGTGACATCAACACACTAACAAAAAAACTTTAAATATGGAACAAGGTACTACATTAACTGAAGACTGATAACTGGAAATGAAGAACAGAAACATGTAACCAGATAGAAAGAACAAAGAACACTCGTTATGAAGTAACAAATATAAATATGAAAGATTAGTAGAATCCAGGAAAACGAGTGAGAAACCAAATCAGGTATCATACTGAAAATAATGGTTAGTCCATTGTCATAAACTGATATAATTTTTTCAACAATATTGAATTATATACTCGTATATCCGCAGCCATTTTAAAAATGATGGGAATGAAACTTCTGGTTTTGGAAACACATAAGAGTAATTGATGAATTTTGAATTAGCTATACAAACATATATGCTTCATTTTTAGTCGTATCAGTTAAACCAATGACAATTTATCTGTTATCAATAATTTCCTTCTCACTACAGAATCGACATGCACACATCATAAAAATCAAGTCAGAATAACTATCTCACAAATTAGGATATTAGACATGTATTGGCAGTAACAATATTGTACCTCAGAGAAACATTATCAATTGATTCCTGATCCAATATTTGACCAATATCCTTCTTTGTAGGATTTACTGACTTCCAAACAAATTCATGTACTTTTATTTCAATCATTTACATGAGAAAATGTTTCACACAAAAATCGAGATAAAATATTCACATTAATGAAAAATGAAATTACACTCCAAGTGACTCATCTGCATCCTCGATATACTACCACCTACATCATCCAGAAGTGTATCTCCATATTGATGTTTCTTTCCGTATTATAGGCCCACAATCGCATCAGTTCTTGTGAAGGAATTCTGGAAGAAACAACATTATTTAAAATTATTTCAGTTAAAAAGGAGTTCTACGACTGAGCAAGAATACTGTTTTTCTACATCCCTACTTTAATGATAAACTTATATGCCCGTAATCCATTTCATAATGAGATCCATCATGATACAGATTTTTTATAACTATACAAATTTTCAATCAATAGAAACCCATAATTTTCAGGCATGCTGCGCATTTGACATTTGTCCTAGATTCCTATCTGATTGTTTTATTCGTCAAGATCAGTAGGTATCAAATTTTATTAGAACACAGCTGAACTTCGATAATTATATTATCAAAATATCTGATATCGGCGATATAGCAGAATTTACACCATTGACTCCTCGACACATATAGGAGAAAGCAGAAAATGCAATACAAAATATTTTACCCCAAAAATCTAGGAAATTGTATGAAAAACTATTTCATTGGTTCATGAACAGGAAAAATACAGATATTTCGACATTCTCAGATACTATTTTGATGGCTTATTTTCAAGAATTGATGGAATCTATGGAATCATCTAGTGGACATATTATTCAATAATAAAATCTCTTAAACTTCAACTTACGATTTGATCTCCACAAACTTTATCACGACATGTTTCGCTAACACAGTAGCTTTTTTGTAGTGAATAAATGAAATTTGTGGAGATCAAGTCGTAAGTTGTAGTTTATGAAATTACTATGAAAAGTTTTTATTTATAAAATTATCTTCCTAACATTGCATTTTTGAAAATTTTGTCATGAATACATTTTCCATTCAATGTATACATGAGATATTTCATATAGCCAGAACCGTCTAAATATTTTTATATTAATTATGAGAATTTTACATTTGACTGTTTGCCGATATTGATTATTCTACTCGTATTTTTTTTTCAGACTACATTTGAATAATCAAAAAACACGTTTGATAAGATTTCATGCTAGACAAAAAGAAATAGCCAGATTCTACTTGCAAATTGAAGATGATGAAATTTCTCCGTGCTCTAGGGTGAAGTTTTTAGGTGTACACTTGGATGAATTTCTCAGCTGGAAAACTCATTGTGGAATAGTTATATCGAAATTGAACTCCACGAATTATCTTCTGAGAAACCTTCGTAATATTTAGACCAGAAACAACTGATTATGCTGCATCATACCCAAGTTGAATCGCGTCTTCGGTATGGTATTACTATATGGGGAGCTTCATCTTCATGCAAACATGTTTTTATCGCCCAGAAAAAGATTATAAGATGTATCGCAGGAGTCTCACGAAATACAAGCTGTAAAAGCATTTTTTTTAATTTTTAAATATCAACATTGCCATGCCTGTATATATTCGAATTATGTGTTTTTATATATAACCGTAACTGTTTCATAAGAAATGAAAATGTACATTCTATTGATACCAAGTGCAAGACCAACTTTCATATGCCATATTGTAAAATTGCACTGACTTACAATTCCCCCAATGTAATAGGGCTCAGATTATTTAATCTGCTACCACTTGACCTGAAAAACTCTAGTACTATTCACAGCTTCAAAATTACACTTAAGTCTTTCCTACTAGAGATTGAATAATAAAATGAACATTTCAATGAGTGTATTACTCTTAGTAAATTGTCTTATTTTTAGTTTTACTTTTAAGCTCTTTTCTGACTAATCCTACACAATGTAAAATGAAAATTTAGAACTAATGAAATGCACCACGAAGCATTGTCAACTACCTTCAAACAATCGTATTTTTTCATTCAATTATTTACAATTTTTTTATATTTTAGTTCTCAACACCTATTGACAAATTCAATGTTGACTGCTGCTAGGGTGTGTTTTGCCAAATGATAATTTTGAAATACTAGCAGTAGGGGGATGCAATGCACTAAATGGTAAGTAAATGCAATGTAGTATTTAAAATGAAATGGGTCCATCACAAATTTGTACATTGCCACAAAAGGATTTTCAATTATCGACTTAATTCTTTACAATATTCAGGGGGAAGGCGAATAAGTATAAATAACCCTTTCACTGCTCAAGACGAGTACACTCGATCATAGGTATAGTGCTCGAGACGAGATAACTCGCATTTCAAAATAAAATACGACCTGACTGCTCATATTGCCGCATATTGTCGCGAATGTATTCCGCACAAACCAATTGGAGCGAGAAATTAGCTGCGATGGCAACGCTGCTGTACAGCTGATTAGGTGTACAATAGTTCTAGCGATAGCAGTGCGTTTTTTAGACCTGTTTATATAAACAAAAGGCAGTGTATTTCGAGTGTTTTTATTGTTTTTAAGGTATATTTATGTAAAATTATTTAGTCATCACAAATATGCCTAAAATAACTACTAAACTGTCAAGTGGTGAGTTCACTTATCGGGCGTGCGAAAAGATTCTTACCGTGCGATACAAAGACAAACGCGAAGTGAATATCTTATCCTTTAGTCATACGCCAGATGTAAAGTGTAATGGAAAAAATCGAGACAGTGGTCGTCAGATATTCAAGCCCACATGCATTGGCATTGTAGATTACAACACCTAAATGGGAGCTGTCGACAAAACAGACATGCTTCTATCAGTCGAGTGCGTCCGCAAAACCAAAAAATGGTACAAAAAAAGTGTATTTTCATCTATTGGATATGGCGGTTCTAAACAGTTTTGAAATGTACAATCAATATATCTATTTAAAAATTCCATTTAGATTTAGTAAAAGAAATCATTGAAAAATCCCACGTTCCTCTTACACGTACTGGTGGCAGAAGACCAAGAATGGAAAATGATGATTTGCGTCTAACCGAGAGGCATTTTCCGTGATTTGTTCCACCTACATAAAAAAAAACAAAAACCAACAAAAAGATGTGTTGTTTGTGCGAGACATAGCAAAAGAGCAGAATCGCGCTACATGTGTTCTGTGTGTGGGATTGCAATATGCGTGATGCCATGCTTTGAAACTTATCACACCAAAAAAATATTTTAGTTTACTCGGAATCACACGTTAACAGGTAAGACCTCGTTAATCCTTAGCTCGCACCAGTTCTGAGGGTTGTCGTTTGTAGGGGTGCGACAGCTGGTTAACGGAAAAAACAGATTTTAAACACTTTTTTTTAAACACACTATAAATTATGTAAATTGATGGATGTAGCCATTACTACGTGGTAGGAAATCATAATGAAGAAAAGAGAAATGAAACTTTCTATGTTTTTTACCACATTTATTTGTAACTACCGTTACTGCAGTTTCGTCCTATTTGTAAGGGAAGTTTATTGTAGGTATACAATAAGTTTATTGTATAAGTTTGAAAATGTCCGTATAGGACGAAACTGCAGTAATGTTAGTTACAAATAAAAGTGGTAAAAAACATAGAAAGTTTCATTTCTCTTTTCTTCATTATAAAT